CTAGTTCAGGAAAACTGCCTGCCAAATTTCAAAATCAGAACCATCCAACACAGCCATCTCAGACAACAGAATCCAAAACTAGTTCAGGAAAACTGCCTGCCAAATTTCAAAATCAGAATCATCCAGCACAGCCATCTCAGACAACAGAATCCACAGCTAGTTCAGGAAAACCGCCTGCCAAATTTCAAAATCAGAACCATCCAACACAGCCATCCCTGACAACAGAATCAAATGTTACAGGTTTTCAACCAACTTCTTCACAAAGTGTCTTTCCACTAAAGGGTATGAGTCGAGAATTTTACAGCCACAGAGGAAAGATGCATTACAAGAATGCAGCAAGAAAAAGTAGTAACTCACATATCAATGGAATTTTCAAACGGAGTAGTGTTAAAGGGACTTATATTAAAATATTAGTGCATTGATTAAACAAAGTAGACTCTGTACACCACATCAACCAGCTTCTCGAAGTGCCATTGTGGCCGTTGGCTACTATTTGATTAAAAATGGACCACTTGTCCCAACTCAGGAACTCTGTAAAATCTACAGTGAGCAAAAATCAATCTCTAAAAACAATGACTCAAAAAGAAGAAGAATCCCTTCCTCAGAACTCTTTCAAATTGTTTCAAAGTATTTGAATGTCATGCATGTTGAGATAAATGGTCATGCATTCATGTGTGAGAATACTTCTAGTGATTTTTCCTCTTTAATATCGTTCTTAAATAAGAGTTTTGAATCCAAAAAGGTGGTCAATGAAGTGGTGCACAATGCTATCGGAGATCACTTCAAAGATGCCATGAAGTACATGGACGGCAAAAGGTACCGAGACACAGCAATTGCCTTGATGAAAAAAATCACAAGTGTTAATTTTGTTACAAAACGTCTCCTTGGTGTGCAAAACAAAAATAAGATCCGAAACTGCCGTGATAACTTTCTCAATAATCTGAAAAAATATAATAACATCAAAATAACATCCCAAGCGGTCAGGAATGACATGACAAATCGTCAACAGTCAGCACTAAGTCTCAGAATCATCTCTAAAAGGAAAATCCAGGAAATACTTCACATCAAACCTGGAAGAGGAAGAAAGTTGAAGTGTGAAGAAAATCCCAATTTGGCTCCACTTTTACAATATGCCTTCATGGAGGAAGCATGGAAAGTCACCCGTGCCTTACTGTAGATACCCTTTACAGAACTCCAGACAGCACAGTTAATATGAAAAAAGCAAGAGAACTGGTGCTTGCCATGCCAGACCCAACATTTTCCATTTCCCTCTCCTCGTGTTACAACTATACACAAAATTACAAGAAAAACACCTTCCAAGCAAAACGTCACCACGAGGGGAGAGGAGTAAATGCCTGTATTTCTTTGCATACTCCCCCAAGAATTGGTGTTGCAAAATTTGTCTTAAACCTTCACTGGTCCTCGTCAAACATCAACTACTTTGTAGATCAAGCAGCAGCAGAAACACAAATACATTTCTTGATTCGAAGGATGCAAAAGCCATAGTGCCTGGAGACATAACTCCTGTCCAGAAACCCATGAAAACATGGAAACAAAAAGGGGGCATTCTACCAGATCATGACTGGGAGCAAGGAAGAACAAATGCTGTCACACCTATGGCACATCTTTTTATGGAAACGCTCTATCCTGAAAATGTCAACATACCTCTATCAGCCCCTTCATCTGCAATCTCTGTAACACGATCTGGGAAGGCTATCAACGTAATCTATCTCGCACACTATGAACCTGAAACAGTCTTTAGACAATTAAACGAAATCCTGTTTTTAATGGTGACGTATATTTTAGAAATCCAAGTACAGGTACTCTTAAAAACAAATTCACCTTTATTGTGGACAATGTCCCATCAGAACAGCCATCCAGCACCATGGTTCAAATGTCTCCATGGTGTAAATTCTTAAAGCTTGACAGGATTGTCCAGGTGTCTTTTGCTGAATACCATAGTAAAAGAAATGTTGTGGAAAGAGTCCACCCTCAGGTCAACAAAGCGCTATCCGACCATGGCCCTTTTTGTAGCCACCTCAAACACCCCAACAAGCGTGAACCTGGAAAAGAAGAACACAAGGAAAACATGGAGGAGAATGGCCAGTAATGTCATTGAGTGCATTAGGCAAGCCAAATTTGGAGAGAAGTATATAGACGTGTTCAGGTCTAAAAGAAGAGCAGTGGGTTTTCTCGGACGAATCTTCCCTAAAAGAATTTTTATTATTATCAGAAGCTAATAAAGAACTATCTGCATTAAACTACACTGCAAACCATTCCTCTAAAATTCTGAAGTCCTTGCATGACATATGGGGGATGGACCAAGATTTCAATGGCCTATATGAAGATCATAAGATGATTACATATGATGATGATTCTGCATGTTGTTGGTGTGATAAATACACTACTATTGTTTATGGTGATGGATACGACAATGAAGACTTCAATGAGAGATTCCATCGTCAACCATTACCAGACTTTCCAAGGTGGCTAAAAACTGATGGCGAGCTCCATTATCTTCCATATGAATTGCGTTCTTGTTTGCCAAAAGGGGAATGGGATGGATCGCCTGCCTGTTTTCTACCCAGTCATATATTAGACATGGCATTTTGTTTAATTCCTGAGCAATCGGGTCCTGTTACTCAATCGCTAGCATTGTTGTCGTGGAGTACACAGGAGGAAGTCGAGACATATTACAAAGAAAAGAAGTTAGAAATGGAGACAGACATGGAAGATTCCATCAAGAGAGATCAGTGGAGAACCCACAACCTTTTTGCAAAATCAAGAAGAAAAATCAATTGAAGAAAAAGGGAAAAAGTTTGAACTTGTTGAGAGACTCGCCCTTCACAATGGAGAAGAACCACCCAAGCATGTACACTGGTGGGCAGATTCCAAAAACAACGAAAGAGCTTGGGAAGCTTCCAATTTGCTTTGTTAAGTCAATTTTGCGCTGGTATGCCATACTGACAGTTGGAACAAAGGACAAGCTGATCTTAAATGCACTACTTATAGAAAATAACAGAAGAAATTTGTGCTTTAGAAGAGACAGGAAACAGGAAACAGGAAACTAATGTGATAGATTTTGTGGACAAAGAAAGAACTTTAAATGACGAATCGAAAACCTGGA